CATCGTGTAAAGCAAAGATAATTTTTGATCATTTACTTTAAACCCCATATTCCTATTGAAATTAAGAAAAATTTAAATCATTATAACTCCGAAGATAATGATTTTTTATCAATGAGTGAACGATCATTAGAAGTGCGGAACCTTCCTCTTTAAAACGCTTTTTCATTTATTTCGATACGACTTCCGGTTCTCGAGATATCGTCGTGTAAAGGAAAGCATAATTTTTAATCGTTTACTAATGCTGTCCTTGTCGCTTATTCGGATCTCTCGCTCGCACCTTGTCTCACTGCCTATCTCAAATCCCAGACGAGTGACAGACGCGATTCTTAGAAAAACATAGTACGCACTTTCAAGAAAAATAGATCACTAGATGGCGCCACCATTCACATTTTCTACTGTCTTAAATGCTATAAATACTTTAAGTTCTTATATCTCGGCAACGGATTGAGATATCGGGATGAATTAAAAAAGGGTTTCAATGTTATAGTTTACTGCATTTCTTGAGTGGATTTTGATGAGAAAATTTTTGGTATATTTTCACGATTTTGACGTGAAAAGTTGAAGTTTCATTTGATTTTTTAAACGATTACAATAGTTGATTGCTATGATTTTAAAGTTTCCTCGCATCAAGTTGTTTTTTTAGCAACGTGGTTAACCCGGTATGTCCGAGATTGAGATTTCTTTGAAAAAAACTTTTCATTCGCGAGAAGTTTTATTCTATTAAAACTTTTATTAGTCTGCGGAGGGAAAATTTGATACGGATGTTGAACAATTTATAATTTTGATCTATTTTTAGCTGTTATGAGTATAACGGGAAGTTGTAAAATATAAGTTGTGGATAAAAGAAGATATAAAAGTATATTGAAAACGTATATTGAAAAAAGAAATACAATGTGATTTTTTTTATTTCATTTTTTTATCGATACGTAATTTATTATATTAATAACATCATTCGAGATTAGTATTAACTGAAAGCAAACACCGTTTTTCAAATATTTTTAGTCAGAGCAATTTTAATTCCGCATTCTATTCCATTTTTTTTTTCGTTTTGTTAATTTTACATATTTCTATATCATTTTTATCCTCTGAAATTTTTTTGGTTAAATTCTATATAAAGGGAGATTGTTATTTTTATACCTGGATATATAGGATTTCTGCAGGTAAAATTGTCACGTTATTATTATTGCGTGTTAAAAGCTTTAACGAAATTACGAAGTAAATTGTTTCAGATAAATCTTTTTTTCAGATAAATTTTGAATACTTATTGAATAGATTATAATAAAATAACATTTTATTATTAAAAATGAAAATTTATTTCGCGGTTTCTTCTTGAAATTTGCAATCATTTGAAAAAAATAAAACATAAAACAATTAGAACGATGGCCACACGATAGAATTCATCAAGATTTTATTTGATCAACGTTAAAAGCTAATTCTCTTAGAAAACGTATTTAATGCGCGGGTTTTCTCATTGACTGCGGAATGTTTAATGTATGATGCCTTTCTATCTGAAATTCTGAGGAAGCACGCTGAATTTAGATCCACCGATAGATCTTAAAATGTCTGCACCTAAGATAAGAGTTTTCTCGACGAGGACCACTTTTTTTTCCCCCCCTCCCTCCCTCTTTATCCTTCAATGCGAAATGTTATCTCGCGTGCTTTTATTACAGCATTCTCTCCACGTAAACCTCAAAGCTCAAAGAATTTCCTGGCAATCATGCTTGAAAGATGCATTAACATTCTTGTGATCTTTAAATTTTTAACTGTTGCATAAAACAAAATGAAATAAACGAATTCCGGCAAATTTTCTCACATCGATCTCTTATCTTAGAATATTTATACAAGAAGAATTACATATTTTAAGAGCTTGATAAATTATACGAATAATTAATTATTTCTTGACTACATGTATGACTTGTATGATATTCCATTATTCCATTATATTTCTATTCCATTAGAAAAATTTGATAAGTCTATTGATTTTTTCTACGTACGTTTTCTGCAATCATAATATTATTTTCTATTATTACAAGCGTTCAGAAAATTATTGACATCGCCATAATTAATATCAATATTATTTACAACAATTACCTGTATAGAACGATAAATTGCTTTTCCAAGGATCGCATATTAAACATACGCAGAAATATAGTTGGATTACGTAAATGTAACGCCTCGTTTACGCAATTAACAATTTCTACTTTTACATTTCACTTTTGAAGTTTTTGCTTTCCATATGTATTAAAATGAGCTGGGCTCCAGTGAAAATTAAATTCCAATTAAAACGAGAGATGGCAATTTGATGCGATTGTGTTTAATGTCCTCAAAATTCGTATCGCGTGTCATAATATCTATACTTTTAAAATATGCAACTATCTTTTTCCTTTTTTTTTTCCTCTTTATCAATTTTATAACTATAATAATACTTTCACGCATAATTTTACATATCTTATACCAATTCTCGAAGATTTGATATTAAAAAAAAAGATATATATATAAAATTCGATTACAAATTTTTATCATAATATCTTAATACTACGATAAAATTACAATAGTATTTATATATACATATATACATACCATTTTTTTAAAAAAATAACTTATCATTTTCTATCGGTCCAAATTCCAAATAGATGGAGGATCGCGCGTGACAGAAACTACCCCGACTTGAATTCGCCGATCGAGGCGAGCGTTGGATGGGTGGGAAACGTAGGAAAAGGGGTTAAGCAGGGAGGAAGGCAGGGAAAAGCCGGTGGATGAGTTGGAAAACACGTCTCGCATCCGGTGCCGTCACCTTGAAACCATCTCTTACCGGTTTACGAGGCCGCCCCCCGCGAAACTTTCGCTACACTCGCATTCAAAGTCATTCTTCGAAATAGCGCGATGCAGAGAGGTGTAATGTCTGTTACACGGATACGGAGGGTTTATGACTTGCACTACTTCGCATCCCGTGAAAGACGTGAAACGTTTAAACTCTTCCTGAAAAACCTTTTTCGGATGACTTTCGACCCCGTCCCTCGGCGAAACGAAAACGATTTTTTTTAGAGCAGGAATGTTATCCCTTTCACTTTAACGAAGATCGGATTTTCTTTAGTAAATTTATAAAACACAATTTTCGAATGCGCAATAACTTTGTAATTAGCATTTAGATTCATTGATTTATTGATTATCAAAATTGAGTTACGTCATAGTTGCAGGGATGGTTATTTGGAAACATCGTGTGTCGTCGACGATAGTTTGGAACTAATAGCTAATGGATGTAACAATAGTCGTTGCTTATTTAGGTAACGAATAACAATAATTGTTATGTAAATGGAATGGAAATGAAATATAGAGTTAGTTTGAAATTGGAGCAAAGATCCAGATTGGATAGAATGTTCGAGGATAGAATCTTCTCTAGTTTTCCCATTTTTTCTTCTTCTTTTCTGCAAATTAAAATATGCAGGATTTTAATTTTCTAATATTTAACATTTCTTTTTTTTTAATTCAGATTCAAATGAACAACAATGTACATCAATTACAAAAATTTGAAATTGGATCCTTGTAATTTTTAAGTATTTTTCTTATTCCATAACGATTTGATCTTAAATGAAGGGAATCGATGATCGATAAGATATCGACTGATTGATCGATAGTCCGTTAAAAAAAAACCCTGTGCACGTTTTTCCCGATCTGAATCACGAATCTAATCTAACCATCTGACAGAGAAAAATAGATAATCCTTCTGGTCGATCGACCGAGGAAGTGATTCCGTGATATTTTTATTCGGTATAAGTTGGAAGGCTTGATCGAAATCGTGAGATCCCTTTGAACGTGGATAAAATTAATTAAACGAAATTAAGATCAGAACGAAAATATTAATGGCCTATTCGTTGCCGAGGAGGTGCTTAATCTCAATTTAACCCGATACGATAAATTTTCGTATAATCATACAAAGATACCGTATTTCGTTGTGTTGAACAAAAACAATTAACCAAAGAAGTTAACGAAATTGTATTACCATGAATATATACTCCCAAAATTACAAAACACAATGTCCTGAAACTGTTCAGGAAAATCATTTGATTCAATTTTTCAAATCCACTCCTAATAATAATAACATTACAACGATTAAGTTTTTTACTTATATTATTATATATTTATTATATATTATATTATTATTATATATTATTATATTATTATATTAATTTTTTTTACTTATATTACCACAGAATCGAGTGAAATTGTACGCGATAGTCGATAAATTTTAAATCTAAAAGCTTCTATTTGTTACAAATTTCAATCCCTCGTACGCAATACTTCCAATACATTACTCCACAAAAATAATTAATATTACTAATATTAATCCTCGATCAAACGCGAAAGTTCGATTGGAAATTGCATATCAACTTCCATTTCCAAATATTTATCTCCTCGTTCGCAAATCTTCGCCCCAACACTTGCAATCACCGTCGAACCACTCCGCCCCACTCCCAAAATAATTAATTTCCACCCCTCCGACCGGCACACGGGCCGAAAACGATCAAAACCGCATCGATCACGCGAAACCCGATCCTCTACACAACCGTGCTCACCGTCCAAAGTGAGCATCGTGGCGGGATCGTGTGTCTCCGTGAGGAGACAGGTTGGAGCGCCGGCGTCTATCAATCCTAAGGGGAACTTTCGCGGTTGGATTCCTTGGGGCAGTGGTGGAACCCGTGTCTACGTGTGTTTCTCGCTATCCTGGGAACGTGTCTTTCGTACGAGGAAGGCGGGTCCAAGGGTTCGCGATGGCGGAGGGCACGTGAGCCCCGACGGGCGCATGCGAACCAACCCTAAAGCTTTACGGCGATCGAGAAAGGATCCCTCTCTCTCTCTCTCTCTCTCGCTCGCTCGCTCGCTCGCTCAGCGCCATCCACTCTCTCTCGCTCCCTCTCGTTCGAGCCTCGCCGCTGCCTCGACCCGTTGTAGCCCCCTCGCGTGCCAGTCTGCACCGAGATTCCGGCGCGAATCGTCCTTTATTCGTCGCGGCGTCACGCCAACTCCTAGATGGATGTTGCTGAACCGCGTTCTCGTGTCAGCGATTTGCATCGTCGCGCGATTCCTCGCGGTCTGTCCAGCCTTCGTGGAAGGTCAGTGATGAAACCTCGTTCGAAACGTGTCAAATTTGTAAAAAGAAAAAGTTAAGGGGAATCGAGATTGAACAGGATTTTTATACAACCGATTCGAGTGACACGTGTAATGTATATATATATGTGTGTATGTGTGTGTGCGTGTGTGTGTGTGTGTGGAACGCGGTCGTTGATGTGCCTAGGAGAATCTACGTCAATTTTTCGTAAACGTAGTTTGAAATATGTGATCGAGTTCTTTTTTCATCGTGTTCTGTGACACGTCGTAGAGACTTGTTAGATTGGAGCTGGGTACACTGCGATCGCGTTCTTCTTCGTGTGAATACTTCTAATGATAATCATCGTTCGAGGATTTGCTATGCAAAGGATATGGTTTCGACTTGGTGCGTTGGATTCGCGACACATCGGGATTCGACGTGGCACAGTGTTTCAAGGGGGTGGAGATGGATATCACGGTGTTGTTCACCTGTGTTTTTTCACCAACGACGCGTGCAATGATAAATATGCGTTTGAACGCATATTTAACGCGGACCGACAGAGACGGTGTTTGATGGGTATGGTACGCTATTTCCACGCGGTAAATTAGGATAATTTGTTTCCGCGCTTCACACTCGTCTGTTTTTATTTGTATCCCCACAAACCTGTACGGCCAGTGAGATGTAATAATTACGCGAGCTTTTCAATTTGCCTGAAAACATCTCTCAACGTTCGCTGCGGAATAAATCCTGCAGTTCTCGTTTGATCATTGCCTCGTTTAATCTGCGAATGAGAATAATTCTATGAGAAAAAAGTTCGACGAATGTTCGAAGAAATTTAAACAATTTTTTTAAACAAAATTAACTCGAGTGAGATAGGAGGGCATTTTTGATTCTTTATGAAAATATCTTCTTAAAGAAGTTATCAATCCGTGAAAAGACACGGAGAAAATAATTAATTCAAAATATAATAATTTTATCATTTCTACAGCGATTGCAAAGAATATTGGAAGAAAAATTTTGCTGTCAAAATTGATCTCTTAATTTTTTTCTTAAATTTTATCTTTTAATGACATTCAAAGAGATTATTTTTGAGAACCACCTGTATGATTTGGATATATTAATATTTTTTTAAACAAATATATATATAGATAAAATTACCTTTTATGCATCCAAGATTTATCCTAGCGAGAAGCAGGCTGTATAAATTACATATATTATTTTCAAATTTGTAGGAGATACTCGATACGTTTCTCTTGCATCTTAATCATTGATCGACGTACATTTTTTTTTTAATATTCTTCCCAGATCTTTCATCTTGAGCGATGTGAATTTTTAAATATTCTCATAATTTGAAATTCAAATCGATTCTTCCATTTATATTTATGCGGAGAGACTCGATTTCTCGAATGAAAATAAAAATTTTTATTCAACAATTTCGAGATAGGATGGAGCCATGAAGTATTTTCAAAAATGCAATTACAAATGAAATTGAAATTAACAATACACATACCTTACATAAACGTATTCTTCCTTTCGATTTATAGGCAAACATTCCCAAGATACATATCGTCATGTTCATATTTTCACTTCTCAAATATTCCTGCATTCGCAATGTATTAAATTACCGTCTCTTCGTTACTGCTAGGATCGTTTCGATATTATTTTACCTTCATTAAAAAAAAGAATCGACATTAAACCAAGTTAACAATTATTTTCATTTCGTTTTTATTTATCGTAGAATCATTAAACCTGTAAATGATCCAGGAAATATCATCTTCTCGTTAAGAACAACTTAGTTTGCGTTCGATATTATATAGCAATACGATCCCTTGGCAAACTTCGTGTCTATATCCGAGACATGTTACACACCGGATATCTCACTCGTGGTGGAGACTCTGGAAGGGTGGTGTCTCCACCACGAGACTTTCCTCTCGTCGACGCGCGATTATCCCTCGATATCACGCTGCATTATTTATCCGCCCCCATAAAACCGTCGAATTTTCGGCGAAGGCGAGAAACCCTCTCGGAGGAAGGCAAGGAAACTTTTGTCCGTTATCCACCGGGTTCCGCCCTCCTCGACAATAAGAAATGGAACGGAGGAGGCGACTGGCTGCGAAGCTTCCACCTTTTTCATCTTCCCTCTTTTTTTTCTTTTCTCCTCCCTCAACCCGTGCTCCCCTACTTTATTCGAGCAACTTCCCCGCAAGAACCGGAAATCTGTTCGCGCCGGTTGCCAAAAAATCGCTGGCATCGTAACGACGCTCATTTAATTTCGGGCCAACAAATGCTACTGAATGTATCTTCCATGCCAATGTTCTTTTCCAGCTTATTGTTCGAGTTTCAATGCGTGCAAGGACGATGCATTCTTTTCTTTTCTTTTTTTTCTTTGTGGAACGATTAACTCAATCGATAAATCGATGCGAGTTGAATCGAAAGGGGATGAAAGAGTTAGAGCGTTGATATTTGATGATTGTTTGAATCTAAGTTCTTCTTTTTTTTTTTTTCTTTTTTTTTACATTTTTAAAGTTTTAATCATGGATGTATGTGCGGGATTTAGACAAAATGCCTGTTTCGGACTAATGACCGATACATGCATCCAATATAAAAAGATATTCTCGTTGAATATTTCATTATATTTTAAATAACCAATATTGGAATAATTGAATACAGGATTATCGTATAGAATGGAAGATGAATCGTATAGAGAAAGATTACAACACTATTTTTACACTATTTTCCTTATACTTCTTAAAAATATAACACCTTGTATAAATACTTAACTCACTCGCCAACTTTATTAAGGGTGTGAATACTACCCTCGTGTATTTTTTAACGACCAAAGAATCCAATTCTATTCCTCCAATCTCCAATCGATCTCTCTAAAGCTTCGCCCTCGCGTAAAAAAAAAAAAAAAACAACCCTATCAACTCACGAAAAATTCCCCGGTTCCGCCAATTACATCTCATCCCGAAACCCGTGCATAAACTAAACGATTCGAACTAAGATCCTCGTCGAATTAATGCGAATACTTTCCCCTACCTACCCCCGACAGATTCTTGCCGATAAACCACCTTTTAGCGAGCGCGCCCAGCGTTATATCGCCGCCATAAATTCCCTACACTTCTTCCACCGTGTGCCATCTTCTTTGGTAATAAGCTATCGTATAAAGTGTGTCCCATACCTATCTTCGTCCCTGCTCTCACCTCGAGTAAACAGGCGCTCGATACTTTTCCTCCCCCGAGGAGGTTGCTGGGGAGGGGTTTGGGCGAGCGATGGGGTTGTGTTCCACCGATAACCGACAAATTTTTTACTGTGGGCGCTCGAAGAGAAAATCCGAGAGGGAGGGAAAGGGCCATGCAACGATTTTTAAAGCGAGGCTCCCCGAATTCCGTCCCGTAAATCTGTGCGGGGGAGGACTTCACGGTTGTATAGATAGGATAGATAAGGGGATAGACAGTACGGATAGGGGATCCCTTTTGGCCTGTTCACGCGCGTGTATGCGCCATTATAGAGATTCCGAAACGATTCTTTCTCATTTCTCATGGCTCGAGCGTGGATCTTTTTCTCGATTAAGCATTTGTTCGAATGGAAATTTTTTTTCTCAGTTCAGTTGTAATATTATATGTAGTATCGGGATTATAGATTGAAGATTGATTACTGGATTTTTGAGTTTTGTATTAGGTGAATTAGATCTGAAACATTTTTAATCTTTTCTCTAAAGTGTAATTTAAATAATTTTTAAAATATATTTTTGATAATATAATAAGATTATTAATTATTAATAAGATTGATTACTGGATTTTTGAGTTTTGTATTAGATCTGAAACATTTTTAATCTTTTCTCTAAAGTGTAATAATTAAATAATTTTAAATTAAATAATTTTAATTTAAATAATTTTTAAAGTATATTTTTATGTACTAACCCTTTTGCTTATTGATGAGTCTGTGAATTTTCGTGTAGAATCTTGTAAAACTTTGGATAAGTTGCTTTTGATTGTTGGAACGAGGGAAGGCTGTTATCTTAATAACAATAACCTTGATCTATATTGTGATCAGCGATATTCCATCTTTTCCGCCATAAATAATAAAGTCGTTTAAAATGAAGATTGCAGGGGTGAGAAACAGTCAGGTGTAAAGATTGGCGTAGATAGTGTGTATTGCAGTAGTTCTCAAACCGGTTATTTTATCACAAATACGATAATAAGATTTTCAATCTTATGCTTAATATAATATTTTAAATGTGAAATATCCAAACATCCAAATCTGGAAAATATTAAAATAAAAGTATTATAAAAATGATAGGAGTGTTTAAGTATATTTTCGATATAAATATAGTTAATATATTTTTTTTAAATAAATTTTTAAAATAATTGTCACTATATTGTATCCGACTCAATTTCATTTTTCGATAAAATCACAGTGAAGTTGTATTCATTTCCCACATAAAAATTCCACGTATATCTGCAACAAATGCAGATTTTCCAAATTGCAGCCACGATTTTATTTTATGCGTGAATTTGAATTGCTTGGAAATTATCACTGACTTCGAATGCATACGCTTTTCGAAACACGTATTTACATACGTATATACCTATCCTACGTGGAAAGGTTTTTAAATATAGAAAAAAATTTACAAAGTTTCTTTCGTTACATTCCTCTTAATTTTCAACTACAATTCTATCTGAATTCATTTAAACTTTTATTAACAAAAAAAAAAATCGAATCTATCATTCGATCTTTCAGAAACTAAATAATTTCACCCCCTTATGAAATTTAATTCCTATGAATAATCATTGACTTCCATTCCATTCAATAGTTCAACTTGATCAAGTTGATAAACTTCGCTTCTTTATCACGATCCATTGTCAGCAATATATAAATATTGGCAATGGAAAATCTGGCATCGATACTCGTGCCACCCTTCGTTTTGCAATGCACATTAGTTTCACTTTGTCGGGAAATTAGGCTACTGTGATTGAGTGATCTGAATCGATGCACAGCATTGTTCGCAGAATTCCATTGTAA